AGGCACCTCACGGTATTAAGGGACGGTGGTTTAGGTTTGTGTGGCAAACGACAATCACCCAACGACCGACGCTCACAACTTGGATCCCACCATTAACAAAAAGCAATATTATAGTTATATAACTTTTCAGATGTTTTTAATTCAGTATTTTTTTCAATATTCTTCTAAAATTCAACCACTGTATTTCCCTAAAAATCAAATAATACCGGTTTTGTATATTTCCGTATTAAACCTGTAGTCAATTCATGTTCCAGGGCCACTTGGTTTAGCCGTGCATTATCAGCCAATATACCATGGATTGCATATGCAAATTTTGTGTTTGGACCAATCAAATCAATGGATTAACACCATCAATATACTGGTATAATATAATTCATGATAATAGTCCAATGTATTCACCAACATACAGTATCAAACAAAAATATTGAAAAATTTTACCAGTCAGTCAAATGTCAACCAAACAAATTGACATGCATATGACTTGACCAGATTTGAATAAAATTTGTCTAGATATGATGTTGAGCGGATGGACACACAGAACCCAAAAGCCTTTTTCAGAGTATGTCTGATAAGGACTAATAAAAAAAGCTGATGACTGGTGTAGCGAATGCCAAGTCCAAACATAATTGTACTTGCCAACTAAAGAGAAAGCACTGCATTTTAATTTTAATAATTTGTTCTAATATATACCTAAAATGTCGCCTAGCAACAATACCCGATAAGAACCTAGCTTCTCTTTCACCAACACCGCAGTTACCAGGGAAGTTGTTACTGTCCATCAGTGATAGTTGATGCAGCAGTAACTCAATAGTCTCATCATCCCAACCATCTTCGGACCATCTTCGCTGATAATCAATAAAAAGATATAATTAAGATTTTAATTGCAATTGTTTACTTAGCATGTTAAGGACAATTTTTATTTTTTACTGTAGTTGTTAGGGGTTGCTACAGACAACCTTTTTACAATAAATTTGTAAATTTCAATTATGAATTGAAGACAGTTTAATGTAACAGAAATCTACACTAATAACCAGCACTATATCAACATATTGTGTGCTGATGCCAATTCGTGGACTAAATTTGTTTGTGATTACTCTGTGAAAGTTATACCAATATATTGAATAGATATCTGAATTTTTAAAATACTGTAAAATCTGTATTAGAAGTAATAGTGAAATAATAGAAGTCACACTCATTTGTTTTTGACCAATTGAAAACTAAAAATTCACTATTTCACCTATGTTTAGATGCTCTAATACTAATAGAAGCCACATCCCTTCTGTTGCATTGTACCATTTTAATAGAAGCCATGACTTCTAATACAGATTGAGTAGTTTATTATATATTTATAAAACATAAACAATTCTGATGCTTAACAATTTTGTACTTGGCTACTGAATTTTCCAGTTCACCACTAACAATTTAAAAATGGTTGCCAATAGTAACTAGGATAACAATTGAACTTTGCCCTATACCTTAACAATATCACAATTCCTGATTCAAGTGTCCGTATTTGCAGCAGGCAAAATGCTCTAACAAGACATATGTGAATAAAATATTTGTCACCAGATATATTGTAATTTATTATACTATGAATATGGCTAATATAAAAATTTAATTTTTAAAATGCATTTAAAATAAGATCCTGGTGGGCTTAATTTTTTTAATTTAATTTAAATATATTTTTATTTAATATTAAAGGACGCTCATGATAGGTGTCTTTTGTGGTCAGTATTATTTACGAGAATATTGTTAAAAATTGTATAAACATTTTTTTTTGTAACAAATCCAAAATTTTGTTTACTTAAGCATGTGATTTTAATCAGATTTAATTAACAAGCATATGCTAGTTGATCTGATGTAATTTATGCAAATTAGTACCTAACACAGCACTGTTAATTTATTATGCAAATTGTAAATGTTTTTATTTGGGTGATTGCAGAGCAAAGTGATTTACTAACACAATGTGTTTGTCTCATACTCACGTGTTCAAGGAAAGTCCGTATTTGATTCTCTCTGCTACGAACAGCTTGGCGTGCTTGTCTCACATAGGAACTTGGAATTAACCGTTCACACAGAGCATAGCTCTCTTCGTTCATGTTCAATCCTTCAATATCACACTACTGTGGAAAACGGGAACATTGTCATAATATAACGGTATCAACGATAGATAAAAAAAACAGCTGGATTCACACTTTCCGTTGCGACTGCTTTTAAAAAATCGTGCCCTGAATGATTTACACCGGAAGTGCCTAACAGCTTTTAAGGTCAGAACCAACCACGAGAACAAATGTAGTACGCAACTGTAGCCGCCTTATTTAGAAGACTACGCGAGTAAAGAAAGACCAGTAAATAAAATACATACACTGGTTTTATCGTGACTGAATTATAATATTTAGAAAATAAACAGTCCCGTAATAGATCTACTAACGCGGATTGATATAGTAGGTCAAAGATCATAACGGGGTCAACAGAACTACTTTATAAAATACCCGGAAGTTTGGCTTCAAGACCCCAGGTAGGTTTTGATCTCCAGAAGCACAGAAACCGATGTTTTTTTATTTGTAATTATGATAACAAGATGTGATAAAGCACTTCTTTCTCAAGCGCTTGAGAAATGCCAGTACTATATCTTGATCCCACATAGCTAGTAAACGTGGTTGACTGTCTTTTTTCAACGCCAATCATGCTTCCGTGAACGCGTGACGTTGGAAAAAAACGAATCGAGCGATTTAAGGTACTAGTAGTTGCTCATGAATTAATTGCAATCAATTGTACACCCGGATATCGACTTTAAAGGAGCACGGTTACTGAAAAACACCGTAGCTGGAAATATTATGCCATATCTCAGATTGTAGACTGGTGACAAAGGGTGAACAAATTATATATAATGACTGGTGGGGTACTTTTTGTTATCCTGAATTATTGAAAAAATCTTGGTTTTAAAATATTTGAAAATAATGAAGACTTTTCATTGTACCCCCACAACTAATCCTATCCTCCCCCTACCCTCCATCGCCCCTAGATTAATATTACTGTAAAATGACTAATTTTACTGGGTTTAAATTTCGCTGATTTACCATTTCAGGCATATTCATTGGGTTTTAAATTCATGGTTTTATCATTTAGGTAATGTGTTCTATAGTAAATTTACATATTCACCGGGTTTTAATTTAGCGCATTTTCCAGTCAGCAAAATAAGCAAAATTAAAATCCAGTGAATAATTAATCCTTTTACAGTTATGCCCCTCTTGAGAACACCTATATTGTTATAAAAAAATCTGGATTTTATCTACCCTGTGTCTCAGAATTAAGATGGATTAACAAGCAAATAAATGACCAATATTGGCATTGGCAAAACACACACCACAGACATGATCTTGTCAGTTTCTTGAATGAATGTCTGCATAGTAATAAACCATGTTCTGCATAAAAATCAGCTCATTTAAATTCCTTCAGTGTACATTTGATTGTATGACAAGCATACATTTTGTACAATTTTAAAGTATTCACCTACCAATATTTCTGAAGTTTTTGGTTAAATTATATTTTAAAAGGTTCCATTATTCAATAATCATAATTATTATTCTTTGGTTCTCAGTATTTGCTGGATGTGAAACTCGTGATGGAATCAAATGAAACCTTGGCAACAGAAGACAACCAGAAGTCTGCACAACTCAATAAATCAGATTCAGATAGTGATGAGGAATTCTTTGATGCTTTAAATGATGATAAAGAGGAGAATACAACCTGTGTTGCTGATGTAGACGTTGATAAGGAAGACGATAAGCCAGAAGAAGTTAATGAAACTGAAGATGAAACACCACAGAGTTTAGACTCTGATGGAGAAAAGACTGAAAGTACCAACATCATCACTGAAAAGGATGACGATGATGACATTGTAAAAGTTGAAAGTGGAGGGAATGTAGATATTGCTGATGATGGTGGTGGTGACAAACCAGGCATTGAGAAAACTGACTTAAAATGTAGTGATGCTGAAGAGAGATTTATTAATTCAGAGGAGGAGGAAGATGAGGGGGAGGAGGGACGAAAAGATGATGACAAATCAAATTTACATGAAGAGGAAAAAATAAAAAAGACATTTTCAACTTTAGAGCAAGACGAAGAACATTTAAAAGAAATAGAAAAGGACATGACAGATGAGGATAAAGAGGTAGTTACCATAGTTACACCACATCATCTAATTATTCATCTAGTTGAGTTTTGAGTTCTCTGCTTGCTCGGCTATCTTTAGGCATGATTAGGTTGAGTTGCTACCAATATATACTTCCTGTTGTCATCAGTATGCAATAGCATTGGTCACTATTATGAAACATTGTCAGCATATGGAATAGGTCAAATACAGACATGTGCCAAGTTGAATATTGCCTTTGAAAGTTTATAAAATCTTGGGGTACGAGGAAAACTGTTAAATGTGTGAAAAATAGAAGTTACTGGGTATTTATGATGACTGATCTTAAAATCGAGGTCCCTGTTCAAATTAGTGCATGCTTGGCTTCCAGATTAAACTCAAAGCATGATAATTTCATGTCAAAGATTTGCACATTCAATATGAATCACATATGGGGTATATGTTGTATATTTACGCAAAATTGGTGGACAAAACCCTTAGTGGAATTAATTCCATTATCTTACTACCAGTACTTTAAATATTATACTGAGAATGGTGACATTCATGGCTTTTCAGATTATGATTATTTCTTCAAGTTATCCAAAAATATGTTTGATATCTAAACTAGGCTAGTTTTCATGACCAGTTAATGACTTAATGAATGAATTTTACTACCTCTGTGGGCATAATAATAATATTGGGAGTACACTTACTCGTAGGTTCTGACTTTGACCTTACACTGTCATGTTCTTCATAAGACAGCAAACAAGAGTCTGATATTTACATCATTTACACACCAGCATTTTACTAGAGCCCAACAGCTTGAACAAGCTTGAGGTAGCCAAAATGGCTGTGTAAACGTGTTAAGCATGAGTCGAGTTTGGCTCAACAAAACTCTTGAGGTTGAACTCTGGTTTGACCGAGCCCCAGTATGGACTGACCGTGTAAATGAGAACCCGATGTCAAAGGCACTATTCCAGCTCGGTTTTAAATGAAACAAACCAAATTTTGGACCACGCAAGCTGAGCATTTAAACGCACAACCACAAGAGACAATCTCCTGTTAATTGGTGGAAGGAGATATAGTTCGGCTCTGATAAAATGCCATGTAAACCTCACATATGGTACACAATTAAGACAAGATTAATCATCGTCATAGAGCACAAGCATGTAGGAGTTTGTTGTTAGGGTATATGCTTCTCATAGAGCAAACACACTGCATAGGGGAGATGAGGGGTGTGAAACACTGTCTCACTGTTATACTTGCATAGGGGAGAGGAGGGGTGTGAAACACTGTCTCACTGTTATACTTGCATAGGGGAGAGGAGGGGTGTGAAACACTGTCTCACTGTTATACTTGCATAGGGGAGAGGAGGGGTGTGAAACACTGTCTCACTGTTATACTTGCATAGGGGAGAGGAGGGGTGTGAAACACTGTCTCACTGTTATACTGATTTTTCAGAGGAGGAAGCAGCAAGCCCAAGAACTAAAAGTTAAAGGAAATGATGTCTTTAAAGATGGAGGTAATTAGTATCTTTTTATGTTTTTATCTCTATAATAACGTACAACATTGTAATATTTATAATTGTCGATATAGTTTGAAATTTTACAAGTATTATTATGAAACACTACATGTGAGGAGGCTGCCATTGCAATACCATGGTGCATCACTCTGACTGTTTTGAAACACAATGATGTTATCTTTCTTGGGAGGGGGGTTTGGGTTGTAGAATTTATCAATGAGTATAAATTGATATTGTACACCCATATATATGTATAAACAATAAATAAATTATTTTTTTCCAAATATCAACAGATTTTCTAAAATTAGTTTGGACATATTTATAACCTTTGACCTTGAAAACAATTTTCATTGGGGGTAATTATGGTATTCAAAGGGTACTTCTTTTTTTATTGTACAGACATTGTTACTTTGTTTTATTTAACTGGTACTGCTCTGTTTATCCTAGATTTCAGTGAAGCTATCGATGCCTACACACAAGCGTTGCTAATATGTCCACTGTGCTACAAAAAAGAACGATCCATTATGTATTCCAATAAAGCAGCTTGTCACGTCAGAACGGTAAGAACCGACAAAATTCCCATTTGTC